AAATTTAGCTAATGCAAAATTGTAAAAAAGCTGAAAGAAATTGTTATTCTCATTTTGACAAAGAGTAAACAATGTTCAGAAACAATATGTACAATTGTTCCTTTAATTCTTTTTAAAACTTTGATCTATTGGTTTGAGAAAACGGTGTGATGGATGTGAGTTCATAGGGTTATGAGAGGTAGATTAAGCTGTAAAAACACCTAAAAACATTAGTGTCACTTTTTGTGAATTCGCGGTAGGTTTACTAAAACAACGCAAAAAGTTACTTTTTCTCTTTTCTTTAAATCAATGTTGAGAGTATAAACATTTTTTCCAAAAAATCATAAGGTATTTGTTCTAGTTTTTGACACTGCCCTATCAAAGACCAAAGTATCCTTTTTCATTTAAAGTCAAAAGCAAACGGACATGCTATCCGGCCTATGCATTGACTTAACTAAAAAAATTTAAAGCTTTAAAATGTAGATACGACCACTTTTAGATGAATTAGAGCTTTTTAAAAATCACCAAAAATTTAAGAATTTTTTTTGCTCCTTTAATTTTTTGGAGTAGGGTTAATAAAAATACTAGTCAAGTTGGGATGATTTATAAAACGAGAACTAAATATAATGCTTTAAGTGGTGCGGAAAGAGATATAAACCCTGGCCGAGAAAAGTAAAAAGTAACGTAGTGATACAATAATCAATACAGTACATTATCGGTTATAGCCAGTTTGCGCCCCAATTTCCCCTAATAGTCCAGTCTTAAAAGATGCATCTACCAAATCCGGCACTTTTGCATGGGATTCATATTGGCTCCGGATGGACATCCGAAATCCATTGCGAACTCATCTAAATTTTGTAGGGCCCCGTTTACGCGGAACTGTCCGGGGCTCAGCTGATAATTAGCAATGTATCTCTGTAAAGTTTGGTCGGAGTGTTTAGCACAGTGATGGATCGCCGATGATATCCAGAACAATTGGTTTGGCGAGAAGTTTAATCCGGAAAGTCGTGGTTCGACTCCGTTTTCTTGAACCCAGCTGATGTAAGTGTCGTAGGCGACTTTCATTCCGGCCAAATCAGCCATGTCTTCGTCGCGAGTATTCGAAGCGTTCAACTGGAAATAGAGCTATGTTAGAGTACAGCACAAGAGGGGAAATAGCGAAACCGCACCAGAAGCAGACAAATTAAATTAATAATTATAATAAGTTAGGCGTCGACTCGACATCAAAGTCACATTATTGTACCCACGGAATCCTTTCGCCACGACACGATCGCATTAATTAAGATTTAATTTGATTTAATTATTGGATTGGCATTGCGACGGTACCTAAATACTTCGAATGTCTCCTGTAAATCTGGTTGTGTTTTATTTATTGCTTTGTTGCTAATTAATTAGTAGTACCTGTTTCCATAAAAGTCTAAAAAATCCTCAAGTATGAGCTTTGGGGTCTCCAAAAATAATAATTTCAACCTTAAGATAAATTTTCTAAAAAGATTCCAATCTGGTGGAGGGTGTTTCTTGACGAAACATCAAAGAGAGCACAGATTTTTTCTAGGAAATTGGTGGGTATTCACAAAAGCATGAACATATTTACAAAATTTAGATTTAGGATCCAATTTTAAATGTTTTAAAAAAGATTTCATATAAATAAATTTTAATCAATAATATTAACAGGAAAACTGTTGCAGTTAATTTTTAATGTGTTAAAAAAACAATAATATTTTTCTTTCCCTAAGATTTCAGCAGAGCCAAAAACGTTATTCTCATTTTCTTAAATTAGGTACAGTCTATTTTTTTATTTGCTGGTAGGGATAGTGTGAATCAAAAACACGACATGACATCCGTCTGTTTTTGACATTTGACAGCTTCTGACTTGGGCCGCCATTGTGATAGGACTTAAAAACCAGAGCAAAATTATTATTAAGTCCAAAATCAAGAGAAAAATGAACTTTTCTTTCTACTGAGTTAGAATAATGAAGTTTTAATTACTCATTTGCTGGTTTCAAGTAAAGCAAAAACTTTTTTTCCTTTGCAGTTTTGACGTAAAATCAAAGTTAATTTTTTTTCCTCTTGTAAACGCAATCCGGGAACATACTGTATATTAATAACAAAATAAACAAATGTACATACAAATATCAATAGTTTTGGCAAAATTATCGCATTACATGGGAAAGGTGATTTTTTTATTGAAATAACGCTTAAAAAAATAAATGCATCAAAAATTAATTAATTAACTAATTAACATTAAGTTAAACTAAAATTACGACGTAAACTTCAACAATTTAACTACAATTTAATGGTTGTCAAAAGAAACAAAAAAGTGAATTCCGTGTGGATCAGTTCTTTAGCTTAGATAAGCTTTTCTTACATTCGGAGGCAACCATTAATACCTAGTATTGCCTCCACGAGCCTGAAAAGAAGCTCAATTTTTTATTGTTGTCTTTCGGAAATTAGCGGTGATTTTGATAATTTGGCATTTATTAAGTAAACAATGAATCTATACCAATTGTTTTTGGAACTATGGAAAAATCCATACTCGACTAAGTTACTTAATCCTATATCATCAATTTTAGTACTATTTTCAGAACCATTTAGCCATTTTAAATCTTAAAATTTAAGTGATGCGATATTTATGCCAGTCAGTGTAGGTCCCAGCCGTATTTTTTTAGTTTTACAGCTTTAATTGTATTTATTTTGTTTTTACATTTAAAAATTGTGCTGCTCTAATGAAGCTAAGAAACAAAAATAATATCCCCGAGCGCTGAAGTACTTTCAAGAAAGGTTAATTTGAAATCACGATAACTCATGGATTTGAATAAACTCAGAATAAAGGCTAGCCCAGAGGCCCCTACGGCTTTGACGCCAGTCATTATTTTAAATAACTATTAAAATGTAAATGTAAAAGGTAAAACACTTCTTTTCTGTTGAGAAGCATTTATCGTTTGTGGTAGTTTTCATTTTCTTTTTAATTTGGGAAAGCATTTCCGCTCATTTAACGCGCATTTCTAAACCGCTATTTTCGAGTAGTTTCAAGTACTTTGATAAGTGTAAAATAAGAATTCACTTACGTAAAGTGCCATATCAAATGCAATTTACAGAATGTAGATTCAAGAAAGAGCAATAAAACGCTTGATATTTGCTTATCTCTACCATTTCAATGATACTCGTCGTCTTGAATTCCTCAACTCAACATTGTGTGAATGTGTAATTAAAACATTTGGTTAAATACGTTTACGTGTAATTTCATCCTCCAAATGTCCTACTTTGCCCTTCAATCGATCACCGGTTTCAAATATTTTTCTGTTGTCTATCAGAGCAAAACGCTATCGAAAATATTATCCGTGGGGTTTTGTTTGCAAATCGGATTATTGGTGTACATAATAATCATAAATTCCACCTGCACGAGTGGAAAATGTTAAGTAATTAATTGAAATTCGAGTCGTAACATGGCGTGGAATTATCAATAAGTTTGACGTTTTGGGTTGAAGTTCAAGGCAAGGAGTTGTGGTATTTCGAAAGGCATATTTGCAGGGCAAAAAATGGCTGTGGTCGTCTGAAGTGACGGTGTGAAATTATAGGGTGAGAGCATACTTGGGATATTCGCTTTGAACATACTTGCGAAATTCCTCGGCGTAATAATAAACTTACGTGTTCGATCATTTTAACTATGAATTTTCCGTAATGATTCGACAGACACTGCAGTTTAGTTTCGTAGTTGAAGAGGGTGTGAGATGACCACCAGCTCCGGGCTTCCCCCTCAAGCCCTTTGTATTTGGCTTGGGTGATAATGTGGTACATTTGATGGGCTATAATGGTACCCAAAGCGCCATAGTTGAGGTACTCGGGCCGGTTTTTCTGGTAGAAAATGCCACGGAAGAAGGAGATTGGTATTCCTGGAATTGGTTTTGTGTCATTTAAAGACAGTATCTTTATTTATTTTGCGTGGTAAGTAGCGATTAAAAAACATGACGGCGTGTACTTAAGGCAAATCCCGGACTGATCGATAATAATCCGGTTAATTTGTTGATTTTCACTCCGGGACACGCCATCTTAAAACTGAAATAATCTCGCTCGTTTACAATTTCAAATTGCGGTACTGGAATTAAATGGAACGGGTGTAAGACACGCGCCGAGATATATTGCGACGTATTTTATTTGAAATTGTCGAAGGATTTAAGCTGGGACTTACTCAGAGCATTTTCCTTTGGCGAGTAAACAATATTTAATCCTGTGACAGATCCGGGGGTTTCGAAAAAATTCTCTCTTACAGGTTGCCGGAGTTTTCCATATTGAATATTGGTACTCATATAATCCAGATTTAGGACTGACGTCAAGAGCTTATCTTCCAATATTTCTACCTGGAAAATCGATCTTGTTTACACATTTTATGCGAATGATGTCATAACATAAAATATTCAAAACAACTTTATCCCCGGCTTCTATAATAGAAGTAATTAGAACCCCACTCTGAATTTATAATCAACTTTTGCACTTTATAACACAACATTTACACATAGATGAACATTATTGTGCCGCAATAAATATAACTGCTTCAAGGAGAAAGCTGAACCGAGAGAACAACCAAATACTAAATCAACACCAGAATATTTATAAATAATTTATTTCAACGATTTTTACCAAATTAATTTATTAGGTAATAAACAAAATTGTTTAATCAATTTTTTTTGAACATTTCTGTAGGTAGGCATACTAAAATAAAAAGCCACTGCCGCAATTTGCTAAAGTTCGATGTAATTGTTAAAGTTTCTAGCTGTAGAATGAATAATACAACAAAATTTAACTTTTTCAATTAAATTTCAGATATCTCGTTGAATTATGCTTCAACTCTTACCTCTTCGTACATTCTGTTTCTTTCAATAAAGTCGTTGTAATTTGGGATGTTTTCTACACTTGAAACGAGTATCTCTGAGGCAATGTCTTTGGTTTTTGCATCCAACCAATCTAATTTGTAAAGATTTTCTCTGAACTGATATTTGATATTTTGAATCATAGAAATAGCACGCGTTCGTGTGTCCTCATCCAAATATTTTTTGATATAAATTTCAGAAATAACAGTGGAGAAGCTGCAAAATACCTCTACAGCGATAACGCAAAAACTGGTGAACATTTACCTATTTTCGGTTGCTGTGACGCATTCATTCCATCGTGATGTTTGTGCAGGTTTGCCTGTCACTTTTGTGAGATAATCGTAAGCTTTATTTAGGATTTTTTGAGGTAAATAAGTGAGCAAATCTTGTAAAATATGCCAGCACATAAAATTTGCGATTATCCTGGAAAAGATATACTAATAATGGGAAGCATTAATTGGAGTCTTTTTTCACAATTACCTTTCGTCGGTGTGTTTAAGGAGACGAAGCAGCGTTTTCAAATAAAGAGGCTCTGAGACGGATATAATATCGTCATAAGTAATCTCAGTGACGGGCCTTAGAATATTGTTAATATATTCTTTCCAACGTATCTCTGAAAATTCATATTGTAATTCCGACAGGGATAAGGGATTATAGAGTTGAGTTTGATTAGTTTCGCTCCTTTCAGAAATCTGCAATTTTAAAATGAAAAAATTCTGAAAAGTGAGTACGTGTTACTTTAGCTAATTTGAGTAGAAAATCCAAGACTTGGCTTTGTTCTTTTCTCGCTTTTTCCTCTTCGGCTCCCATGAGAACAGCGACGTCCACCATATATTCTAAATACCAGTTTTTTATTTCGTTATTTATTTGACTTTGATAGTAGGGGCTTTTTATCTGGAATGTTTTAATAAAAACTCAGTCTGCAAAAAGCTCGTTTCTTACATTTAGAATGTATTTATCTGGATGTATTTTATCTCTTTGCAGTGCTAAAATGAAGAAATTTTCGAAATTAATTCCCATCTGCCTGAGTTTGGGCACGGCATCTTTCCAATTGAATAACTCCTTACGCCAATTATTCCCGTTAAGAGTAGGCCATCCGCCTATTTGGTTAAAAATTTGTTTTATCCTTTTTAATCCTTCTGCTTCGATTGCACTCTCGTTCATGCAAGCTCGATAAAATTTTTTTGCTAAATTGAAAGCTAAAGGATCTTCTTTCTGGATCGGTTCATTCAGCATGTTTTTAATTTCGGTTTGAATATCCTCCTGGAGAAGACTAGTCACCGAGCGCGAGTCTCGATCATCCAACTCTGTGTTCTCCAGGAAATTACCGCACGAAAACCGATAAAAATCTTCGCACGGATCCGCTTTTATGTCGATGTACTTCACAAGCAACTCCATCGAAGTTTTCGCACACACCGACGATGTGCACTCTTTAGGACCATCTAAAATCATCAACAACACTAAAACCACTCCACTTTAAAGAGCTAATTTTACTCAATCTCTATATGCACGAGTTTCAAGTGCGGAATAAAAACATCCAGTTACTTGCACTTACCCGAATAAAACAAATAAATTAGTAGAAATAATGATAACGCAGTAACTGAAACAATGCTCACAATCGCAATTTTCTTTTCGCTTCTCGAGCGATTTTTCCACCAGGTTCTGAGAGCAAATTTTTGTCGGTCCGGAATTCCTCTACAAATTAAATTATCCTTAACATAATAATCGGATTTTTTATTGCGTACCCATTAATCATTTTTTATGGGGAGAAAGCTTGAAAATTTAATTTTTACTGTATTCTCACGACACTCTACTAACATACTTAATAAAGTAAAGGATGAGTCAAGTAATTAAAGAGACAGGAAGAATGCGTTACGCTGTGGGAGGATTTGACCCGTAAGGTCAAACAGCTGTAATTATCTCAAAATTAAATTATGAAAATAATAGGCATAGTTAATTTTTCGTTAGTTTCAAGACTAGATAGTAATTTATGGTGCGTTAAACGGTTTATGATATTTGGGGTTCTTTTAATGTTGATTTGTAAATAATTGGGCACGGCTTGGGACAAATCGTGAATTTATTTTAAAACTAGCTATAAATTTTCATTATTTGCAACTTTTTGATCCATTAGGTGCGAACTACAGCGTGACCTTTACCCTTGTTGAATTTAAATGAGTTTATAAAAAAAAAACCGGTAATTCGAGATTCTCTTGGTAAAATTGTTTCGGGTGGTCTAATCCGAGATTTAATAACGTGACTGAATTGAGAGAAGAGAAAATATTATTTGGTAGGTATCCTGCACCGTAAAAACTTGACTAGACGACGAAAGGAAGTAAAAAAAGAATAGAAAACGGAAATTGGTTGCTACGTGTATGGCCAGTGATACGAGTCAGTGGACGTTAGCCGCTATCTGTTCGTCTAAACTTTTTTAGACAAGTGTATTCGATAAAACCTACTTAAGGCAGTTTGCGCAGGAAAACCATTAGCACTAATCATTAAACATCTGATTCGGTTTCAGTGAATTTTAGCCGACAAAAGCAAAGCAACGAGCCGAACCAATTCGAATAAAATTGAACTTTCAATCGGGCGATTCAAAGGAACTACTCATTGACGAACCGACTTGTGCAGTTCATTTCACCGAAATGGAAGCAGAAATAAACACAAACAGATAAATCGTGACAAATCTGCAACATCGAAAGTTGAACAATTTCGGGCCTAAGAAAAACCCTCATCAGAAACCAAGAGAAAAAGTCAAAACTTGATTAGTACTTTTCAAATTCTACTTTTTACAATAATTTTCATATTATATTATTATTTTACCAAGATCTAGCAAAATAAATAAGTCTCTCGTTCATAAAGGAAGTAAATAGAGCGAAACAAGCTAAAATAATTTCAAGTAATTTGGGAAATTTTCGTTTTGTTTTATTTTTATCTCTTTTGCAAAATTTTATTTTTATATATTTTTAGCAGTTTTATATTTATCATTAAAATGTGCTCAACACTCCGAAAAGGTAAAAATATCACTAATTCTAGCCTAATTTTATCAATTTTTCTTTTATTTTTAACGAAATTTTACGAAATATTTACGTTTTTACCTTAAAATCATGCTAAAATTCTTGAAAAAATCAAAAATAATGATTTGATTTTGTGTTTTGTAGCAAAATCTCGCAAAAAATGAGGTTTTAGTTCAAAGACACGCTTTTAAAACTTGTAAAAGTGAAAGTAACTCCATTTTTGACCAAATTTAGTGTTTTTTAGCTTACTTTATAAAATTTTACTCAAAAACGAGATAAATCGCATGAAAAAAAAACGAAATAATATCAATTTTGATTTTTTTGTAATTTTTAGATATGTTTTGCCAAGATATATCTTACACGATAAATGTCTGTGGTTCAAAAACGAATTCAATCAATTTTAATCCAGTTTGGTACATTTTTAGCTAGTTTTATTTTTTTTGTTTTTATTTTTTAAACGTACTCAAAACTTTTGAAAATGCAAAAATAACACTCATTTTGGCTTAATTTGGTAAATTGTGGCTTTGTTTATAACGAAACTTTGCAAAATATATACGTTTTTATATTATATTCTTAGGAGTAAAAGTGATACTTTATGTGGCGAAACTCAACGTTTATTTTGTCAAGCGTAGTGAGCAACATAAACTCACTTTTACTTCGACGAATAACATATGCTATTTTATCAAAGCAACACTATAATTAGCAAGTAAGTAAACAAAATAATTAAGATGCTTTGTAATTTGTGTTGAGATTTTCGAAAGTGTTCATTAATTTAACTAGTGCAGTTAGTATTGCAAAATGTACTTCTCTAGAAATTGCTGAAATAGCGAAAGAGACAACATTGGTAAATGACTTTGCAAAAGTAAAAACGTTTAGGTCCAGAAATAATGTCTGAAAGGTAAAACTTTTGCTTGTAACATTTAGTCTTTTGCCGAGAAAAGCAAATCTTGTTTAGTTTTGGTTTAATTTTAATTTTGTGTTTTGGTCTGATTTTGTCTCGGCGCATAACAAAAATTGTAAGAATTTTGTATAAACAAAAGTTTACGGGAGATAACAATTCGGCCGCGATAAGAATATATTTACAAACATTAGGCGCCGTAAAAATCTAATCTTGGGGTATTTATTTAGGCGGAGGTAAATTTGCATCGAGATTCTTATCTGTTAATTTATCCTCGCCTCTCTTAAATTAAAAAACTCGTCTCTACTGTTCCATATATTTATGTAACTTGTGTGGGTGAAGGTTTTAAGACATTGTTTTCTCACGTTGAAGCACACTCTACCTCGCATACACCTTCATTATGTATACTTTGACCGTGCGATTTTTCCTACCTTGTAGAAATTGTAGGATTGTCTTTGAGTAATTTTAAATCGACGTATTAAAATGCACCCTTTGGAGGATATATTTTATTTGGCTGCGGGCTAAAACTATTATAATATATTAAACCCCAACTGGGGGATGATTTCAGACACCCTTACAACTTATCCGTGTATCCCCTTAGGGCTTTGGAATAATGAAAATCCCGTATTTCATCGAACGGTCGTCATTGGCAATAAAAAGAAATTTGTTCTGTAGTGGACGAGATTTAACGTTGTATTACCACAAACAAATGGTCACTATAGTGCAATATCATATCTCTAATAATTGCACAGCATTGGGGTGCTACGTGTTTGGCAGGACTTGCTCATGTTTAACTAGAATGCAAATTATCAAAGCCAAACTAGTCTTCTATTCCCCATATCATTATAAATCGCTGCAGCGTTTTAACGCGATTTTGCGGTCACTAATTTCATTTTTGGCAGGGATTGCTTTTTTCCTCTTTGAATATTTCACTGGATACGTGACGTAATTTGAAATCTCGTGCATTATAGATGATAGATTTTTTCCGACTTTGTCGCCAGAATCGAGCTGAATACTGTTTAAACTTGAGTAAGAAGTTAGATAAGCAACGATCTGATAATTAACTCAACTGAACCCTCAACTCCATTTAATTTGTTCTTCCTAAACATAGATCCCAACATGTATTTACCATTGTTCCAAATTTTACTCAAGAGAAATGAATAAGATAATGCGAACAGATGCCATTAACTACTAGAGATTAATTAAATTTCACTTATTAATAAATTTAGATTTAAGTAGGATGAGGCGCTTTAGAATTGACTTGTCAAGCGGAACCGAACGTGAATTCACTTTAGAAATATTGCCAACATTATGACAAAATATTGCCAAAATTACTCCAGAATTTTCGTTGGTCCCAGTTTATTTGCAACAATTTTGCTTAAAATAACGTTAACACCATCAGCAATTATGAAAATAATGTTGTATGACTAATTATGACTTATTTAATGTGTTTGTTTATTAACAATGCGTGAAAATATTATGTTTCAATATTTGTTTATCATTAAATAAAATAAATTGATATTCGTTGAGCTGGGGTCTCATTTTTTTACACACTTTCCATCAGCAAGTGTCTGTGTCATCTCTAGTCTATTCGTCAATAAGTCTGAGACCTTTGTGCATCCCCGATGGTCTCTAAACCTCCGTTGCAGCATCAAGATTGCATCCTACGGGAAGTTATCCTGAGTTATCCTGCGAGTCCTTGTCCTGCGCTGCCGCAAGAGTGGGGGCTCGTCCCGGGCGCAGCCGTTCGTCCCACAGTTTGTAGCGCGCTCTCGCGGCTGATGCTTCTTCTTGGGACAAGATTTGACGCGTGTTTAACATCCGCCGTGATTGATGATGATGGCCGGCATGTTCTTGGACGTGTCCTCTAACTAGGTTATTATGTGAATGGATTTTTCTGATCCTTGGGACGAGTTAGTGCGATCTTAACATGTGCTATTTTGCGGATATAGGAGACTTTCGCACTCACATTGACACTTCTTAAGGAATTGCTAAAGTAATTGTCACTGCATGTTTTACGTTTTTGCTGTTTCGATTTCTCAAAGGGTTGAAAAAGAAAACTCGGATTAATTCCCAATGTGCACACTTTTATTAGATTTGTGTCTGTGGCTTTCTGATTTATTGCCAATACGTTGAAGTTATATAATCCATCAAAACAGAGCGATTAGTTACTCTAGAGCAAAACAGATAACAGTCATTGTTTTTCTTTGAGTGGCAAAGAAATTGTTTTTTATCCCAATTTTCAAAAAAATTGTTATTCGATGTTTCACAACTTTGCCTGAAGTTTTCAAATTTATCCTCAATATATTTCAGTTATATTATGCTAAAAGTTGTTTATTTCCGTTAACTATTCCGGCGGAACAGTGTGTTTTGAAGAATTGGTTTTATTTTTTCCTAAACTAAAGCACTGATTTTTTAGTTTGTTGTACAAAACTGTTGTAGGTTTTTAAAACTTGAACGTTTGTTTCACCGATAAAAGGGTTTTTAAATTATTCTGAAAGTTGCTGGTTTCTAAGTGAGATGAGTTTTAATGAAGAAACTTTGAGCTTAAATATGCGTGGCGTATAAATATTGAATGCAGGAAGCATTAGTGGTGAAGCCGGAACAATGCAAATAATTAAAGCGATTTTATTTTAATTGTCGATACTGAAATATTAACTCCGGATAAAAATCAATATGTTTTATTGTTATTGTTGTTGATTTTGCATAATAATTTTCGAACTGCTATTCAATGACTAAATTTTAATTATATAAATATGGTGGATGCGCCGGGCCAACATTTTTTAAATTATTATTTTATAAGTAGTTTATTGTTTACAATATTTGAAAACAAATATAACGTTTGTTTAAATGTGTTTGATGGTTCAATTATTTAAATATTACCGAAATATTACTTTGTTATTAAAAATGATACAGTATCATCGATTTTTTACTAAATTAATTACAATTTAATTACATAGTTTAAACAAAATTAATCATAAATTTATTGATTCTAAATTTAAAGGGTTACGAGTGAAAAACTTGTTTAATTATAAATGTAAAATTTTACTCGAAATTGAAGAGACTTTAATCAAGAATTTCTTATTAAATATGAAAACGTGGTGACCTTTCCAGAGGATTTATAATTTAAGTTTCTATTTTTATTAAAAGATAGCTTACATACTTGCCATTTGAGATGTTATCAAGTTTTGTACTTTGAGTGCACGCTATATTATGAACAATTGTGTTGACGTTGTAATTGTAGTTGTTTTTAATTGAGTATAATTTGAAGTAAGTTTCTAATTTGAGTAGTCTGATTTATGTTTGATGATTTTTGAATAAAAAATGAACTTTTACATTAGGGTAATAAAAGCTCTCGCGCTGAAACCATTTCTGTTATCCATCATCTTCACTGTGCACAAGCTTTGAAATTTTAAAACGTAGTGTTCTACAGGTTGCTTCAAATGTATATTTTCTCTAATATAAAATATAATAAACTCCGAAAATAGGAAGGTAATTTAATGTCAACAAAGTCTCTGCATTGCAGTCGTTGTTGCAATTTCACTTGATTAAAATATTGTTGAAGAGTGAAAAAAAGGCAGCAACGTTGTAAAAGAACTCGTGTCTCAAAATAATTAAAGTCGTTTACAAAGAAAATAAGGTTAAAGTCTAATTTATGTATTTATTCGCGATCTATCCCACGCCATACTACAATGTACCCATCTGAACTCCCTATTAACTTGCAAATGTATATAAATTGATTTTCTGATTAACGTAAATTTCTATTTCCGTTTCTTTAATTGAGAATTTCCCTCAGAAGGGGAGAGCATCAAGACTCTTACGTGATACGTATTCGGTATCTCTGCGTATACTGAATAATTTAATTTCGGTTATTGATCAAGACGTTTCCGAGTTTATTTTTAATTCCAAATAAGGCATTTCCTCCTGTCTGGAAAAATCATTTTTGATTACTTTTTGAACAAGGTAAAATCGTCGACAATAAGTAACATAAATCTTCTCAAAACGCTGTACTTTAAGATCTGGTTACGACGTCTGTTAAATTTAACGAGAGCATAAATCCATAAATACCGTTGTTATAACCTTGGCGACGATTGACCTTAAAGAGAAGACAACTTCGGATGGAATTACTTCACTGGCAAGTTATATTACTCGTTACAGCGTACCCGAGCTTAAAGAAATGTCCTGATAGCCACTGGACTTTCGCTCGACTGATGAGTCCTTGATAAAAACTAACTGGGGGGCAAAATTACTCCCAACCAACAATTTCTTGACTGAATCCGCCCTTCAGATCGCTGCATTTTGGCGCCATTTTTGTCAGCTCTTTTTGGCCTTATCTCAACTTGTCACTCTTATATTATCACGATTAAAAAATAATTTTTACAAATTCTCCATAATTTTTTTACAGGGAACTTAAAAAACAACATCTTGCGTTTTTATTTATTTATTTTCCAAATTTTGCTATATTTTTGTATAGCTTTAAATAGTGAGAATATAGTTTTATATACCAGGTGAATAAAAAGTATGAAACCAAGAATGTTTTGTGCTTGCTAGTTATTTTTTGGAAAAACTAATTGATGAATCATAAAGTACTATAAAAATGCGACGTTCTATCGTGAATAAAATTTTTCGAAATTTACTTTTATTTTTGAGTTCTGCAAAATTTTTAATTTTTTTAAATGTCAACCCACTATAAAAACAGTTTTTCATAAAGTTTATGATTTAAGGATTACAACTATCTACTTTATATTTAAGTTTTATCAATTTTTTTTTACAAAAGTTGCCATTTCCAAAAAAAAACGCGAATTTAAAATCAAAACAAAATTTCTTTCGCAAAATACGATCACATTTTTTATATTACTTTCATTGATATTTAAAATGATTTAAAAACAAATCGCTTGGTTCAACACTTTATATTCACCCAGTATGTATTTATAAGAGACCGGGAATGGTGTTATATTTAATAGCAACCGAAAACAAATTCAGAACCGCCTAAAAGAACATAATATATATTTTTTAACATATAAAAAAAATCAAAATAAAATTTGTATAATAATTTTTTAACATAAATAAACTGTTTAAAAGAACATAACTGGTATATTTTTTACTTCTTATGGTCCTTTAGATTAAATTTTAGTATTGTACAGATGTTGTGTTGTATTTTTTTTCAGAATTTTGTATTTTTTTTGGTATTTTTGTTGAATTTTTCGTTCTACTTCTTAATTAGTTTTGTTTGCATTGCAAATTTGTAGTATACTTATATATTTTTATTGAATTGTAAGAATATGTTTAATTTGGTTACTTAATTAATTTGTGAAAAATAATTGAATTTACTTTGTGTTTACCTGTTTACAGTATATTTTTGTTTGTTTTTCACTGTCTGTTCTCTACTATTTTTACCTATTTTTATTGAAACGACACTAACAACGTTTCTACTACATTTCAGCTCTTTTTTATTAAAACAAAACAAACAGTTCTTGATATTAATAAATAATTTATAAAAATGCTACAAGTAAATTGATGTGTATTTATTTAAGAAAAAAATTAACACAACCATTTGTCAATTTTCAGTTCAGTTCTTACTGAGTTGCCGGAAAAAATTTTTTTTTCAAATATTCTAGTGATTAAAACTTTTGTGAGTTGATTTTTTTACCATATAGTTTTAACAAATTAAACACATTTTTACCAATATTTACTACTTTTTGTAACAAATATGGTTTTAGTTAACAACTAAAAGTTACAGTTTAAGGATGAAATAGTTTAAAATTTACTAAATTCAGAAAAATGAATATATTTTGGGTACTTTATGTGGGGAAAACCATCCTTATTTGTCAGTTGCAGACCGTAAGAAATAAAAGAAGCATCTCTGATCGATTTTGACAGTCATCGATTTTTATTGTTATTCGTAAAGTTCTTGTTGAATTTCAATGAGTCTGCAAAAGCGTCTACTCCGAAAACTTTCTCTATTATATGCTTTACGGGTTATTGCACAATTACAGTATCTCAAATAAGAATATAATAAATACAGAATCACCTTAATAGCTTTGCGAATTTCGATAATAAATAACACAGCTTTGGAAAGTTTTAATGGCCTATTATTGGTTCCAACTTGTTTATTCAATTAGGATTTATCTAAACTTTCTTTCCAGTTTTTGCACTTGTAATTGCTCGTTTTTTAGACGGGAGAGGGTAATATATCACCTAGTGTACATCTTGTTCGATAAAAAGTCTCACTTCAGACCGGTAAATCATAATTTAGTCGTGTGTGTGAAGATGCGGTCTGCAATTTCCTCGTGATAAAATATGTGTCAACTTTGTAAAATGAAATGTGAACTGCTGCCATTTATTTTGATAATGTCCATAAGTAAGTGTAACGTACGATGTCCGCTTAAGATTGAAAAGTTGCTCCCTTTCTCCGCTTTTTCAAATTAGCGAAGCAACTCGCTATAAAATCACCAATTCTTACAAATGTTTTATGATCGGAAACTGTAAAAAGAATCCGCCGAAATGGAAAGGTTGTGTGCACAAAGATGCGGAAGCAGCTTATTATGTTATGCAAAGCAGAATTATTTGCATGTAATGTATTAAGGCAGTTCATTTTCTTCAAGCCCTTGCAAGATGTATAAGCATTTTTCCAATCTTTGCAAACTAAGCGTCTTTCAATCAATCCTTGTAACACACCTGCCTTGAGACTAATATCAAGCCTTAAAACAACAATTTTTTTTTACAAGTTATTGATAAAAACATTTTGATTGTCATGACTCACGACAAGATTAGTCTTTAACGAACTGGAAACTTGAGATAAGACTGAGCAAATTTTATTCTTTTTGATTTAAAAACTCAAACAGGGAACGCACTGTTATTTTTTAAACTTTTCTCATTTGCTCTCACGATTCAATATGTAAATTAATGAACTTTTACATTGCTTTATAATCTCAGGACTATTACTGAAAATGTACTCTTTAACATGAGCACACGTTATCGCACGATATTAAATTATCAAATTATGTAAGCTTACTCAGACACAAGCTCGCTACATAAATTATTTTAGAGATGTGATAAAACTCGATAAAACTGAGAAAATATCGAACACTTTATTTCCTATGCTGTAAAACCAGAGAATAAAGTGCCAGCTATTCCGAACTTCCGGAATCGCGTACGATGTACTAGCGGAAGTACAAATGATCTGGAAATGGAAACTAATCATGAATTGCTGGAATCACAAAAAGAATATTTTTTCCAAAAATATAAAATATAACGAATTACTTTGTGATAGAATTGGTGTAGAGCGTTTCATCTCGATTTTGAAGTGAGTTAAAGTGAATTATTGTCACCGCTTTATTTCTACGCTTAAACAATTCATTTGTACTTTCATTTCCATTAAAGTTGCTTCAAACACATTTAATCATTGTTTCTTCGCCAAGAACAGTAATAGAAAATAAGTAAAAGCGTCTTAACAGTTTAGAAATTATGACTCTTTCTTACCAAAGCACATAAACGTAAAATGCGACGTAATGAAGCAAATTAAAAGCACCCATTTTTGTTTAAATAAATTTCAAGCAAAAAGTTGAAAAATGTGGGCGAAAATTCGGATGTTAAATGTGACATTTCTCGAGAAAAGATGCTTTGCTGAGAGATCACAAATCGACTTGCGCCGGATCTCGGAGTTCGCCTTTTATTTTTGGCAAACCATTAATATGAAAGGGTGAAAAATTTCACTCATCAATCATATCAGACCGGAATATGAACCGAAATTTATTTTTGAGTGGAAGTGTGTCTATCGATTTTCGGGAAATTGTGCTCTCTCTTTCTGAGATATTAAATTTCAATTTTTGGGTGGTGTGTATAAAACCCTTCGCGGGCACCTTGCATGCATATAAAAGTATATTTAAAATTTTACGACCCGAAAATACTACATAGAAAAGGTTTCTTGTGCTTTTCGCGGGATTAAGTAAGCTTTCCTCGTCGTTATTTTTTATTTATTGGGCCTAGTTCCACAATAGATTGGGTTTTTTTTTTAATTTTTGGAAGTTATTATTTCCTGGGGTCGAGGCTGATGTAAATGAAGGTAACAGACAAAACATTGATTTTAAGTCTCTCGTCTTGTAAACCTAATTAGATTCCCCGAGTATTGTGTTTTACGAGCAAAACATCAAACAGTGAAAGTCAAAAATTTCAAGACTGTGTTTTGGGATTAATCCTGTTTATAGCTCTCAGTTAATTGAAAAATTTTATTTGATGGGAAGGACGAGATCTGCCAATCATATGTCACATATTTTGTTTGTGAATTTAAAGCCGGCATAAATGGGAAATTTGTTTTATGTTCCCTCATAAAGTTCATACTTCAATAAGTCCTGTCTGATGAATGTGCACAAAGCTAATAAACTGATTTTACTGGTTGTATTTAGTGACAATTTTGCCGTTGATCAAATAAATTTAAAACTTTTTCATGCATAACTGTTTCATTTAACAAATAACTCGACGTGAACTTTATAAAAGAAAAAACGAAACTCAAAACGTTACAGATTTATCGAATGCTGGAAATTGTTTCAACTGTTCTGAACTTGGCGAACACGAAATTCTCTAATGTGATGAAACTTCTGAAATTGAAATCACAGTCGATTATTTCCCCGTCCCATAATTTCCCAGAAACAATAAATGTTTACCAAGAAAAAAACTACATTTCGATATTCCGAAAAAACAAAGATTGTTTTATGAGAAAATATAAACACGTTTGTATCAAAACATACGTTCATAAACGTCTATCATGAAATAGCTGTTGGGTTTTATTTCTTTCTACAAATAGGGAAGTGTGTTGCATTTTATACTATCCAGGAAACAGTCTTAATAAAATGCCTCGAGATTAAATCTGCGCCAGCACGAATGTACTTATATTTTATTTATGATGCCATTACTCCAATTAAAAATTTTATTTCGCTGACCACTACTGGAAAAATTAAATGTGTTTCGAAACATGTAAATTAAAGAGGAAAATTAAATTCTGGTGGTTCGTTCTAATTGGACAAATTGTCAACAACAGAATTTTAGTTTATTTAGTGTTGCAAAAATGCACTGATATATAATTTCAATCAATGGAATTGCTGTTGAATAAATTCCGGGAAAGCAATGAGGTAAGCTCAATTCTCAAATAAATTCTTCATTCAATTTCAGTTAAGCTGAACAGTCGAGTCGAGATAACGGAAGATGTGTGAGCTGTACAAGTATATGTTTGGAAACAGGCAAATGGTTATCGATTAGATCCTTGAATAAGGTGCAGACAGAGCAGTAAGTCACGGATTGGCCTATTCTATATTTTATTATCCGTGCAAATCGCCAGAGAGATCGATTTCCATTCCGACATTAGTTATGAAATATTCCGATTTTATTTATTTTTTATGGCTTTGACCCGAATTCGGAGGTAATTTATTTTTTAAAGCGGACACTCGTTCAAATTAGAATAATGAAACGCGTTGGGGTCATGAGGTTCAACAAAAATATTTCATCCTTAAGACGATTTGCACCGTAGAGGGAATTTTGCCGGTATTTGGTGGTTTTGTCTCGCCTCAATGACATAATCGCATAACATTTATATTAGCGAGTAGCACTTTGGCTTAATTCATACGAATTGCATGTTATAATGGCTCTAGTTGGGGTCATGTATATGATGCAAAATATCTCAGCTGGCTTTCATGGCTTGGCGTAATGTGGATGGAGTATTTATCACCGCATTTCCAAAAAAAAACCGTTAAAATAAACACCAGAATTTGTGCACATGAGGGGATTATTTAACTGGAATTTTTATTGCCCATTTAACTCTAACGCGAAATGTGTACACTTTTTTAAAGCCAAACAAGAAAATGCTAATGAGAAGACCCACTTTATGTCAGCAATCGTAAAAGATAAAAATTGCTTTATGTACCAGGTGCTATTTTAAAATTATCTTGAAACGGAGAACGAATTTATTGCGAGCATGGCCTTAATGGATGCGACTTTTTCTCCTTTTGCAGACTTCGACAAGATCAAGGAACTCTGCAACATGCACAGCAGGAACGGCGTGTGGGAAGCCCCATTTTTGCTCCTGCTTTCATCTTTCTTCAGCGTTTACGGTAAGTTCACTTTACTCAATTAATTAATCTTAAGCAAAAACTACCAACAAAAAGACAATAAAATGTTCTTCTTCATTTCTTCGACTCGAACACAATTTGGTATAAAATAAGGTTTGTTGAAATGATACATTTATTATTTTTTTAACATTAACTAAATTTGGAAAGCAGTAAGAGGTGGTGGTGTAAAAAAAGTTAGAATTTAATAGAATACCTTATTATACTTTATTAAGTGCAATGATTTACAAAATTTCTTAATCTTGGAATGCGTTTCCGATGTCGTAAGATCGGAATTAATGATTTTGCGTTGTTGGTTGGAGTTAATTTGGTAATAAAGTTCGTGCGAGGCATACTTGTAAGGCAACGAATCTATACAAAAAACATCATCTGCTGAAGTTATTTAGTAAAGTTAATAACGTTAAGCGAGGGTGAAATTTTTTGCGGAAATTTCAGACCCAGTTATTCCCGAAAATTCATTATCGAAGATGAGATCTAGCACGCATTTCAATAATTTGTCTAAAGTTTGTGGGGCTTGTAAATGAAATTCGTATGTGTGGTAGAATTGCTTGTATCAGAAATCGCATAAATATTGCTGTTGTTCAGTTTGCCGTTCGAAAATTACCTTTTAGCATCAGATAAAAGCAAGCAGAGTCGCTTACAAATTTGATTCCGTCTTCTCAATTCGCTCTTGCATTACTTCTATTGTTCTGTTGAGCATTTCCGTCTCCACTGTAGGAAATTTATTCTAAAGTGTAGTTTACAACATCCTGTTAATTGCGTTGTTGGTGCGGCCGACTTTACATCAAGCCTTGAAACACAATGCATTTGGGGTTTTCTGTGCAAGAAGTGTAACCGACAACTTACGGGTTACTTACTTATTACATGTTAGATTGTTGTCTCAAAATTAACACAACTTAAATTGCTTCGACCACCGGAAATGGACTCGGGAAAACAACAAAACACTAAATTAGAACAAACAAGAGCAGATCCGCCAAATTGGACGTTTTGAATTTCAATTTGACGGTAGAGGATAACGCTTTGGCCGCATATGAAAATTCGGCCTCTTGAGAACGACACGGGAATAGTAATTAAACTTTTTCGTGACTTTTGTGACTCAATTCGTGCGACTTGAATTTTATTCCGACTGACGTTATTAAAATACAAGGGCATGGAAACCTGTTTTGAACCCTAATACGATTTGTTTAATTTTATTTTTAAATTACTTTGGCTCAAAATTTATTGGACTACATAAATCTACATAATTTTACTCTATTCAATCTTTAATCAAGTATTTTCACACAAACACATATTTTTATTAGTTTTAACCAAGTGTGGCTCAAACTGTCTAAATCACTTTTTGGGTTAGTTCGCTTCATTTAACTTGAGGTTTAATTTAATGCATTAGGTTGGAACACATGTAATCTGCATTAGTTTTAATCGATTTAATCTTAAAAGCTGGATCAACTATTTCGATTTGTAAATTAAATGAGTCTTGGGTGTATTTTTGACTTGGGTCAGGGTTGAATCTAATTTACGAATCGTTTGACCATTACTTTGGTACAAAGTGACAGAATCAGGACTGGAATGAATTTTATTTCAGTTTCAATCTTTTATTTTCTACTTCGTGCTAATATTCTTTCTGTCGGCAGTAATTCCTATTGTGCTTTGTTTTTCTCTCACAGTGCAGAGTCGGGTAACTCTCATTAAAATTACATGTAGAGATAATGCAGTTTTTGTTGTTTGTGTTGAAAAGGTTAACAACCGCTTCTGTGTTAGCGAAATTGCTAGAGAATTAGGTTTAACTTGGGTGTAATTTTAATTAGATTCTATGGTTATACGGCGGTTTCTCTTCGTTGTCCTATTTAGCTTCGAAATTATACATTAAATATAAACAAACCCCATCATGCATGCTATAAATTTTCCCAAACTTATTTTAGTTTTAATCGGGACAACCAAATTAATTGTGCACAAAAGTTGTGCCACAAACTATATCACTGTGGTATTAAAAAACGTTCCATGTACCGTGTTTTACTAAATTTAGCCATTTGAGCTTTGTTTTTACTAAAAATCTGCTGAAAACTCTATGATTTTTTAATCAGGATGGCATGTTTTTAATTTATTTCTGTTATTTTTATAAACTGGCTTTGCAGTTTATTTAACTAGAAAAACACTAAAGTAAGATTTAAAATGGTGGATGCGCCGGGATAATTAAACTTTTCTGAATAAAACGGTTTATTAAACGATTTTGCAATAATAAGTCCAATATTTATTTTTAAGTTTAATTTAAAAATTATAGCTGGTGACATTTTTGCAGTTAGTCCTCAATTAAAAGTTTAATTAAGAACGCATAAGCGGTCTAAAATCAGATTATGTAAAAGCTGTGGATAAAATTTTGTAGTAAAATTTTGCTTATTTTCTCGAATAAGTTGGTTGGCTTAATTAGAATTAGCGGAAACTTTCGAAGATTTTTGTGTTGATTATTGTTAACAAAGACAAACACTACATGAAGTAGACCTCGTCTGATTAAATTTAGCTCCAAATGCCCTGCGGCAAACTCACGAAATAAAGTTTGGCGTCGTGTCATACCGACAAAAATTCTTTGAAATCAGTTAAAAGAATAGAACTTTGCTCTCAGAGCTTCACTTTATCTACTATCAGTTTTCGTAAGAAGCCCAACTTCACAATCACAAATTCTTCGCCTTAATTGATCGATTTGTTTCTTTTGGAAACTCGGGGCGTCACTTCCATAAACAACTTTTCTTTATTAGATCGAAAAAAAGTTATTGCAAGCATCCGAATAGTTTCCAAAGTCATTGGTTTGCGTTGCGACGATAAATTGCTGCAGACAGCAATCAGAAATGTGTTAAGTTCGATGTTTAAGCTATTTGTTTATCCGCGGGGGTTTAATATCAAGCCGAGTTCGGAATGAGCTTTGCCGCCCACAGGTAACACATGCAGAGAACGATTTCGAAAACTAAAGCTCTTGTCTGATACCGTCTGAGCCCTCAAAGCTCCTACTGAAACCCCCGTTTTTATCTGATTCTAATATTAAACTAATGAAAGTATAATTTATGGGATTCAGCGGTGTTTTTTTCGGCGCTAAAAGCAAACAAGGACAAAAGGGCGAGTCGCACGGTTAATGCACTCTTGTTAGTCTTCTAATGTGTGCCGAGCTTAAAGTTAGGTAAATATTAGCACAGAACGAAAGCAGGCTTTAGCCCCATGTCGGGGTTTATTTGAAGTAATGTATCGGCACGCAATATCGATGAGCTCTGATCAGAAGCTGTAAATTGAAATATTTCAGCCTACGGAGAATTTTCCACATCAAAGGATGGTTGCTTCAAAAGAATTCGGTTCGGTTAACGACGTTAATGTGCGCTGCGTGATTTCTCGGAATTTTCATATAGAAAAGTCTATAGTGTTAATTACAGACAGACCCCAGGGTATCCACTTAAAATCTTTGCACAGAAAAATAAAACAACATTTCTAGACTATAATCCGTTTACAATGACTCAATTTTATCTAGAATTATTATGCAAGCTCTGTATAGTAACTTATTTAAATTTAATTCTGTATTATATCTTGAGGACCTAAATTAAACTTGCTCTGGCTGGAAAGCGGCTTTATTGTAAATATTAGACTTAAACCTTTCTCATTTTATCGCTAAAACAGGAAATGTGTACAAGGTGCATACTTGCTTTCACCAAAAATCACCGTGAGTTAAACAAACAGTTCAGACCAATTTCCAAATACAGTAAAAACTGTTTTATAAGCAAAAATTTTAGCCTAAAATAACAACATTTTTTCGCTGCATTGCGTTAACTTCTGAAGGCATCAATTTTGTTGAAAGTCGACATCACATGCGGATTATATCTGCAATATCTCCGTTTTACCCCAGAGACTATTGCTGAGTGCCTTGACGTCCGCAAAATCCTTGTCATTGTAATGCGTTTCTCAATAAAGGCCAAAACACTGAATCAAGTCAAGAAAGACTTGAATTTCTTGACTTTACAGTTTTTTTTTTCTTTTGGTTTTCCTCTCTTGTCAAATGTATTTTACTATTTTTCAAAACTATTCCCCACCTACGTCGCTTTGACACTAATATACCTAATGAAATGGTTTTGAGAAATAGTAAAACACATTTATAAAGAGAGGAAAACCAATAGAAAAAAAATTGACAATAATTATTCAACATAGAGCAAGTCCATTGTTTTATTGCAACAAAGCAGGTATGGGTATTTTCGCCCGAAGCAGCTTCAATTACCTTGTGTTAAATTCTTCCCTAATTAGCTAGACAAAGGGTGGGTAATATTAATAGCAAGTAGTAATTATTAATTATTTGCCTTCGCGTATAGAAAGTGTCTAAAATTTTAATTGAAACCGACATCGGTTTCATTTCCTTTGAGAACTGGTTGTTAAAGTTTTAACAAATTCGAAATTACAATTATTTCTTGTGTACGAAGTTATGACAAAATATTATGTTTTGTTAGGAAAGTTTGCGACTACTTTACATACGTATATTGCATATATGCAGTCGGTTACAAAAGTTTAGTGCCATTAAAGCAGTTAGCTTTTATTATGCAGAAAGCCAATGCAAGTTTTCAAGTATAAAGAAAGCAAAGTTTTGTGGAAAAAAAAACAAATTTGTTGTCAGAATGGTTGAGTTTCTATAACTTTAATTTGCGTTTCTCAATAATCTATCAATTTCCCTGGACTAAAACAAATATTATTTTAGTAATGCAACTCGAGAATTGCATGATGTTTAGTAGTTGGAGCGCAACTGAGCAAATAAATTGTCATTTTGCAATAAAATTACTTCAATAATCAATCAAATAAACCGCTTTGCAGTAAAACTGGATTTTTGTCAAATTTCCCTCACGTCGCAACTCGATGAGGAGGTATTTAAGTTTTATTATTGTTTCTTATAAAAGCGAATGAAGTTGTTTGCGCTTCTCTAACTTTGATTCCCAAATGGTGCGTAATACTTCCTTACTTTGGTCGTT